AGGTGCAAAGAGCCCATTGGTTCTTCTGGAGCGATGACCTCATTGCTCACACTGTCCTGTGATTGGACGAAGGACTTCTTGTTGCTACGACATATGTTTGTGGTGAGAATTTTTTTTCCCCTAGCTTGATTTTAGGGTAACTAAAGTTTGTAGAGACGATAACATCTGTTACTGGATCAGACTGGGAACAAACTGGGAACAAACTGGGAATAAACTGGGATCAGAAATGCTGGATATAAAAATGTCTTTTTACCATGATTATAATCGGTTTGGGGTTTTTGTTAATTAAAATAAAAAGTTTTTCTTAATGTTTTCGATTGGATGAAATGATTTTCCTTCCTGTGTTCTGATTGGTCAGACAGAAACTCACCTGGGTTTGTTGCAATCCTCCTCTTCTTCCTCAGTCTTCATCGTTCCATGTTTATCTGCTCTTCTCTCCGGTTTCTGTTTCGTCTCTGTGTTTCTCTTCCAGCTTTTATTCTTGTTTTGTTGATTTCGTCTCTCCGTATTTCCGCCTCTTGTTTACTCGTCTTCTGTTGGCTTTGATCGTCTCCCAGAGAGAGAGAGAGACTCGCCTCCATCAATAATTCACCAGCCAGGTGGAACCTGACCTGAACCAAGATCCTGACGTGAACAAGATCGACTTCAGCCTGTTGTACTACAATCAATACTGGTCATTAATAATAATAATAATAATAATAATAATAATAACCTGACAGAGGTTCAAATCAATATAGAACCACAAAGCTAATGATCCTGATTATCACCTGCTGATCACCTCCTGGAACCGGATCAGCCAATAGAAAGTGGAGCCGGGTTCAGGTTTCTGGTGTCGGCTCCGCCCTCCGCACAGACCCCTGTCGTCATGGAGACGATGAGGACCGTACTGGTTACCGGGTCAGGACCTGCTGGGCTCACTGGTCACTTTCCCAGTCAGAGCATTAATGGGTTTGGACCTCTTACTGGTCCAGAACCGTCACAGCAGACTGACGAGTTTCTTTGTGTTTCAGACATTGAATAAAAAACTAAAGTTAATCAGAGGAAATAAAAAACCAGATGATTAAATTAATTAAAACCAATCAGAAAGTTTGTTCACCCCAAACAAAGTCAGTATTGGTTCAGTTTCTCTTTTCCCATCAAATCTGCAGAACGGGAGAGAGAGGTTCTGAGAGAGAACCTGTCTGGCAGCATGAAGTAGGCTGGAAGCAGAAACATATCAGGTCCAGTTCAGACCATCAGAACCTACTGTACTGTATTCTAGTGAGCCGTCTTGTTCTGTTCTGATTGTGTCTCCTATCGTCGCCTTGATTTTGTTTTTGGACTTCTTCTCCTCTCCTGTCTGATTTCTAGTGTCTTTAAGCCTGATTTCCTGTTTTATTTTGAAAGGTCTTTCCTGGCGAACTTCCCTTTAGGTCAGATTACTAATCCAGTTCCAGTCCAAACATAGTTTCTGCAGGAATGTAAGACAAGTGAACTAAATTTATAATAACTCCGCTTTACCCTGGAGTCACATTCATTCATTCACATTAACCCATTCATAAACAGAGTAAGTGTGAAGCTGGAATCGAACCCACAACCTTCTGGTCACAAGACAACTGCTCTACACAGATCCACAGCGGCTGTGGGGCAAACGGCGCCCCCTGCTGGGCTGAAGGAGATTTCTGTTTGTATTTTTAGACAAACGGGACATAAAAAGAAAAGCAAATAATGTTTTTATTTTGTTCTTCATCTACAACTCGCTGCGACTTCATTCTGCTTCAGATAGACTTAGAAAAGTCCTTCATATTGAAAATTATGGTGCAGAAAACAGGAATACTTTATGGGGAAACATTTTTCTTAAATCCACAAATAAAACATAAGCATTTCAGCAACAAAATAATTATCTACCATTTATAAAATCCTTTGTTTCGGCTTAGTTCTGGACGTGAAGATGATTCGGTTCGTTTTCCTCCTGATGGAACAAAAATCTGATCAAAATCTTTTTGTTTAAAATAAAATTCTAAATGTTTTCCAAACTTTGATTAAATGTAAAATCATTAAACAGGATCTGATTTATATTTTATATGTGAAAATTATTTAAAGCTGTAAAAAGTCTTGTGTCTTCAGGTGGAGTTGTCATGACAATGGCAGAAAGGCAGCCATCTTGTCTTTTTGAAGGAATTAAAAATCTAAATAAATCTAAAAAATATAAAAACCAGATATTTAAATCTCTTGTTTCTCAGAGTTTTAACAAACTTTGATGTCCTGGTTCTGTCCGGGTTCTGTCCTGTCCTCCAGAACCCGGATTGACGGTCCAAAGTCAGTGTGAACCCAGTCTCTAAGCTTCGGATCTGCGGCACGGTTCTGGTTCAGCTGGTTCTGGTTCAGCTGGTTCTGGTTCAGCTGGTTCTGGTTTTGTAGATGTATCAACATGTGGTCAGCCCTGAAATAGAATATCTGCTAATGAGCCAATCACAGTCCTCCTTCAAGGGTGACATCACTTCCTCCTGCGGCAGCGGTAGCAACACGCTGGGCACCGCCCCGCCTCTTCCTCCTCCTCTTCCTCCCTCACCGTGTAGGGGGGCGGGGCCGAGCCCTTCTGGGCGTATGGGTTTTCGCTGTTCAGAGCCACCGGATTGGCTATCACTGTTGCATCATCTGAGGGGCGGAGCTTAGCCCGAGGGATGGTCACCTGACCGTATGGGTTCTCCAAAGAAATGTTGATTTTTGATGACATATTGATGACGTCAGAGAAGGGGATGGTGGGGGAGGGGGGGCAGAACAGCCAATCTAGAGAGAAAGAGAGAATGATGTGAATAAAGTTTCATTAATACATAACAACAAACATCTATGATGTCACTTCCTCCATATTACAACCAATCGGGTCAAGTTTATGCTTCAAGGAGAAACAACCAATCAGCTCTGCAAGTTAAACCTTAACGAGTTTAATAATCTGAACTAAAAGTTTAATAATCTGAACTGAGCGAGTTTAATTTATTTATTTTATATTTTTAATCTGTTTTAAGCTGGTAAAACCCTCTGAGGCAGAAATCTGCAGCAGAAACAACCTGGTTACACAAAATGAACAAACTAAAACATTTACAACAGTTTAAAACAAATTGCAGATTAAAGCAGTGGTACATAAAATCCAAAGAAATGAGATCTGGAGCCGATTCCATCTCTGAATCCTCGCTTCTCTTTCTCTGTCCAACACCAAGAACCTGCAGCAGAAAATGCTGCAGCAGCGTACAGAACGGGCAGCAACAGGTCGCTGCAGCAGGGAGTTTAAATCAGCTGCAGCCCAGTTTTATAAACCAGGATCATTAAATGATGGTTTCTCCTACAGGAAATGTTGAGATGCTACGGCCTAGTCCAAACCTGACAGCAGATTCATATCCAAAACATCTGATGATCCATCAGAACGCAGCTGATGCCAAGTTCTAATGATCAGGATCCCTCACAAAAGACCACCTTCGTTTTAAAGGCGTTTGATAATAATTTCTCCTCATTTAACGATCTGAGCAACAGTAGGAACCATAAGTTTACATACACCAAATAAAAACATGTCCTCGTATTTTTCCTGACCCGGTTCTGTCAGGAGGAACGGGTCAGAACCGCAACAAACCGCTGTGGAGCCATAGGAGGAAACCAGAACACCCGACCCAAATCATCAGTTCAGAGGCAACCTGCCAAATCCTGAGGAGGTGTATGTAAACTTCTGACCCTCACAGATTAATTCTGCTGGTTGAAGTTTGGTCCATCTATATATCTATCTATTGATTATTACCTGAACAGTCTGTGGTTCTGCTTGTACTGGGGAAGGTTTTCTAGTTTCAGGTTTGTTTTCTAGTTTGAGACGACTCACCTGTCCTCAGGTGTGTCCACCTTCGTCTTCTTCTGTGTCTTTAAAAACAGTCCACCTCCTCTGGCAGCTTCTTCTTCTTCTGTCTGGAATGGATTCAGGCCCTTTGTATCTGGAGAAAAAATATGTTTTATTTGACCGAAACAATAAATCTGACTCGTCTCTCTCTCTCTCCTGAGTCTCTTGACCGCCTCGCCCAAACCTGTTCTACCTGTCGGCACTCCCTCCCTCTCTCTCTCTCTCTCTCTCTCTCTCTCTCTTTCTCTGTTCATTCTCTATGTAGCTCGCCCACAGGGGACAACGCCTCCTCCTCTCAGAGGTTTGACCTCTTAATGTCTGAATATCTATAAGCAGATTTTCTTTAGTTTCAGATTTCTGTTTAAAGAATTTATTGCAGTTTTTTATTAGTGAAAAACATTTTATATTTTATTCCTGTTTATAAAGTCCAGCTTTAGTGTCATATTTGTATTTTATGAACATTTCAAGTTTGCTTTTGTTATGGATTCTGTGTTTTCCTCTATCTCTTTTAGCCTCTTTTGTCTGCTTACACGCACACGCTGCAGCTTACATGACCATGTTTACATATGTCTGCCAACCAGGGGCGACGCCAGAAATCTTGGGCCCCATGACAAAAAATTTCCTTGGGCCCCCTGCGCAACTACTGTTACAGTTTCTTGAGTCTATCTGACCCATCAAAAGCATCACAATTTTAAAGGCTTGCAACTCTCTTGCTTTCTTTGGTCCAATACTGATAACTAACACAATATTCACTGCTAGTGAACTTTACCTGCAACAGTTCACATACTGCTTGCAAATAGATTGCTTAAATTTTTTATTATTAGTTTTATCTCATTGAAATGTCTCTTCCCACCTGCAACAGTCACAATGTGCAAAATATACATAAAACAATCCACACTTCTCAAAAAAATGCTATGTAGTTGCATTTTATTCAAGCTGCAGTACAGAACTTTAACAAAAATGTGTTTTCTCCATATTTGTTAAAGCTGTCACCATGTTGTGACAGCTTGCTATTTGACAAATAATCTGGAAAAATCAGTCAATCTCCTCCATCTGCTTCCTGAATTACTATTACTGGTTAAAGTAATGCACCGTTCTGACCAAAACAACCAATCAGAACCAGGAGGAGGGTCTTAATGCTGTCAATTAGCCTCATTCACTCACTGTTAAATGTGCTAATGGTGAAGAAACAACTTATTGTTTCAGGAAAACTGTTTATCTGCCATCATTGGTAGCTATGCTAACTAAACTGAGCATTCACAGTTTGAATCTGCACAGCTCTGTGCTAGGCTAGCTGCAGCACGGCACAAATCGAGGAAGGATGAGCAGCACCACATGAGATTGTGATTGACAGCGTTAAGACCCACCTCCTGCTTCTGTTTGGTTGTTTCTAGATAGCACTGGGAGAAGGCAGAGGAAATAATTTTTTTCACAAATTATCTATCATGCCATGCTTACAACACAATATTTTTAACAAATATGTAAAAAAAAATTTTTTGTGTTTTTTCTTATAAAAGTGTCATTCTGCAGCTTTATTTTCACTTAGGCAACAGATACCTGTAATTTAAATGCAAGCTAAGGTAAAACTGTGTGGACTGGCTGCAGTCCACACAGGAGGATGTTTTTTTGATCATTTTATAAAGATTGTTTGAATTTATGTCAGCAACAAATACATTGTTTTTGTTGTGTAATTGTAAAAAGAGCAAAGACACAGAGAAATCCCTATGGATTCCCTGGAATGATGCTAACTAGCTTGTCATTGAACACAGTGTTGCTCAGTTTTTTCACTGGGACGGGGAGGAAGAGGGTTGATGCTGTATGGTGGTTAGAGCTGCTGCTGACTGACTCACCTGTTGTTAAGTGGTAAAAGGTACAGGGAAGAGTTAAATATGAATTTGTTGGTATTTCTTTTCCTTAATTCATTAAATGCTACATTGACAAACAGCAGTCTGTAGCTAAGCTAACTATGCTAAAAGGTTGATAATCTCACACAGTCTACTCACCTCTCGGAGAAAAACTGGGTTACAAATAGACACCCTTGCCTTTTTCTCTCTCTTATCTCTGTTTTTTTAAACTTGACTTCATTATTTTTCTAGGCAGCAAAGTAACAGCCACAGTTCTTGTCTTGTACTGAGCTGCGGAAAGCGTCACCGTCACCGTTAAATCCCCCCTGGATTTAACGCAGATCCAGGGGGGAGTTCAGTGTAAATATAGATGTGTGCTTTTTGGTCTGGGAGGGATAACATTTAGGCTGCACAGTGGCGCAGTTGGTAGAGCTGTTGCCGTGCAGCAAGAAGGTTCTGGGTTCGATTCCCGGTCTTTCTGCATGGAGTTTGCATGTTCTCCCTGTGCATGCGTGGGTTTTCTCCGGGTACTCCGGTTTCCTCCCACAGTCCAAAAAACATGACTGTTAGGTTAATTGGTCTGTCTAAATTGCCCCTAGGTGTGTGTGTGTGCATGGTTGTGTCTCTGTGTTGCCCTGCAACAGACTGGCGACCTGTCCAGGATGTACCCCGCCTCTCACCCGGAACATTAGCTGGAGATAGGCACCAGCACCCCTCCCAACCCCACTGAGGGACAAGGGTGTTCAGAAAATGGATGGATGGGATAACATTTAATTTTTACTGCTAAAAACAATTTTAAAAAACACAACAATAGTAATTGACAGGGCCCCGATTTTTTCTATTTCTATAAAATAAATAAATGAATGAAGAAATACATTTTGTGGGAGGGGACAGGTCAAGGGCCCTTGACACTGGAAAATCTAAAGTTATGAAAACAGAGAATAAAAATTGTATAAAATCTGGGTGTAAGAGATCTGTAAATATTTGCAATTATTGAAATTAATTGTTATACATGTTTGTTGGAATATTGTTAATTTGTTGTTTTGTATTGATTTTAAACATTTTATTCACTTTCTCAATATTGGTAGATTTATTCTATATTTATTAAATTATTTTGTTTTTTTTATTTTAGAATCTTTTCTTTCCTCTTGTAATTTTTTCTGAATCTTTCATTCTGGTATTTTTTTCTGCTGGCATTTTTTTAATCCAATAATTATCAATATATTTTACTAGTTTATTTAATTTGACCCTTTTATATATTTTAGAGTCAAAATTATTTCAAAATGAATTGTTTTTAATTTATTCTGAATTGAATGATTGACTTTGATTTATTGTTCATAAATATTTTCCTCTGTGCCGAGCGAAGCGAAGTGTGTTTCCCGTTTGGAGGCCATGTGACTCCAGAGGAGTAAAAAACAAAAGGTGTTGAAGTTGTGTTGAACAGAGGGCAGTGAACGCCTCATGTCTCTGGAACCAGTTGGACAGAAACTTTGACTGTTCCTTCATTCCTCTCATTTCCAGTTCAGAGCTCCGCCCAAGGTGGGGGCTTACTGGTTTCACTGGTTCCATAACACCCCCCCACCGCTACCCCCAGTTTGATCTGGTCTCTTTTTCTTTATTGAAACCTTTGTCAATAATAAAAATCGCAGTAATAAAAATAATTTACAGCCATCAATTAGATTTTAGTGATGATGGTGATGAAGATGAAGACATCGTTTTCCAGTAAAGCGGTTTTATTTGAAGCCCATTAAACTGCGCTCCATACCGCCCCCTGTGGTCATCTTATAAAGATTAAATTTATTAACTGCTTTTTGTTTAAATGTTTCGATTGATTTTATTTCTGTTTAGAGTTTATGCAGGTAATGTTTATGTCTTTATCTATGGTTTAGTGTTTCTTCTTTGTTGTTCCGGACTACAGAGTGTTGGTGAACCAGGAGGAGCCGGAGGTTCAGACTTCTCGGTTCTGTGAGGATTGTTTCTGGTTTGGGAATGAAACATGGCGGAATGAACCATATGTCCGTCTTTTGTCTCTTGTTATTTTCGTCACGTGACTGTTTTTTTTCTCTCTCTCTCTCTTTACTGGCTCCTCCCACCCCATCCCGTCTCCCTCTCCAACCTCTTCCCGGTTTTCCGTTTCCGGCGGAAGCCCCTCCCTGTTACCCGTTAGCTTTAGCTCTGCATCCCGGACAGCAGAGCAAAAACACGGCAACGGAGCAGATAAACCCGGTACAGAGGACGACATGAGTCCCGGGGAGGACCAGAGGGAAGCACGGTGACCAGACGGAGACGCTGCCGCAGAAATATCCAGTTTTCAGGTCAGTAAACGCAACAGAAAGCTCCAGGAAAACAGCGATCCCACTCCCGAACTGTGGAGGTCCCGGACTGCCATTCCTTCTCCGGCTGCTCGCCCCTGCGACCTGCGTGCGTCTCAGGACCGAATCAAGGACAGCAGCCGGGACAAGTTCTGCTAGAATGGACCCGACTTATTCAGGTTCTGAACGTGTTGTGAGTTCTAAGGTGACGGACCTCAACTGGAGCAGTGGCAGCTATCTCCTAGCAGTAGCATGATAGCTCTTCCTCCATTAGTTTGAATGGGGCTAAGGAGCTAAGGCTAGCGTAGCCTCGGCGTCCCTCCAGCTGGTGGCCCGGAAGTCCAGCCTGGACCCAGAGATGGCTGATCAGCTCCATCCTAGGAGGACGGGTTCTGACCCATCCTGGAGGCGACACCGAGCCTCTTCATCGGACCGGGTCTCAGTTCGTTTTAGCAAACCTGGAGAGAAGCAGCAGGTGAGGCCAAGTTCAAGTCCTCCTCAGGAATGTCCTCGGGGGTCAGGAGGGCCGGGTTCCAGGTCCCTTGGTACAGGCAAAGGAGATCCAGGAACACTGGCGCCAGAACTTGGTCCTCATTGCTGCAGTTGAGTCGGACTTGTTGCTGGTGAACGTTGGGCTCTGGTTCTGAGCAGGGCAGGTGTTGATCCGTTTTGGTGACCTCAGGATCCAGGTTCTGAAGTTTGCAGTGGCTCTGTTGGGTTTATCAGACCAGAACCTTCAGCTGTCTCTGGACCGGTTCACCACCGCGATCAGTGCCTCCAAGTCTGAGGGCAGGAAAAGGTAGCGAACCTTCTCTGGGTGAGGAGGAGTTTACATTTCTCTGGGTTCATGAATGACAGACAAATGGAGCGAACCATTGACAGGCGGATCGGTGCGGCGCTCTGAGAGATGGAGAGCTGAGTCAGAAGGCGAAGCTCTCGATTTACCATCGATCAGCGTTCCTATCCTCGTTAAGGCCACCAGCTTTGGGTGAAGAACGAGATCACAGATACAACCGGCTGGAAGGAGTTTCCTGCTTTGGGGCCTGGGTTCTCCCTCAGAGGCACAAGCTGG